GATCTCCCACTCCCCACTCCCCATTAGGTGGGGGCTGATCTCCCACTCCCCACTCCCCATTAGGTGGGGGCTGATCTCCCCCTCCCCACTCCCCATTAGGTGGGGGCTGATCTCCCCCTCCCCACTCCCCATTAGGTGGGGGCTGATCTCCCCCTCCCCACTCCCCATTAGGTGGGGGCTGATCTCCCACTCCCCACTCCCCATTAGGTGGGGGCTGATCTCCCCCTCCCCACTCTCCATTAGGTGGGGGCTGATCTCCCCCTCCCCACTCCCCATTAGGTGGGGGCTGATCTCCCCCTCCCCACTCCCCATTAGGTGGGGGCTGATCTCCCCCTCCCCATTAGGTGGGGGCTGGTCTCCCCCTCCCCACTCTCCATTAGGTGGGGGCTGATCTCCCACTCCCCATTAGGTGGGGGCTGATCTCCCCCTCCCCGCACCAGCGCCCTCTCTGACTGACTGACAGCTAGCGGCTGGCAGACACCGCCTAGGGGTTAATTACACGCGCCCTCCCCCCACCACTCACGCGTCCTAACCGCGCGGATTACGTAATATTGTTTAAATCGCCGCTCGCAGCTGTCAGGAATTAATTAATTATTTCGCTAAGCCGTCGTGTCAAGCCGGCCGGCTGCTGCTCGGAATCAATTAATTAATCTCTGCACAATACGCTCGCGGCGCGGGCGAACGTTCATCTATTCAATTATTTATTTGTACGTGCACGCGCGTTGTACACACACTGATTGGAGTCACCCACACACAGCAGTGCGCCGATCGCTGTCCCACCGCTCTTTACCCCTCTTCACACACACGCACAACGGGTCAACCAACAATCTGGTACCAAGGTTTTATTCCCGGCGTGAACAGCGACCCCTTGCTCAAAGCCCGTCAATCCCCGGGTGACATGATGTCATCCTGCGTGTCCAATCGAATCCTTTTTTACGGACGTTTTGAGCGCTCTGGCCGTTGGGGGGGCGGGGGGGCATCACGTCATCCCCCCCTTTCCATTGTCTCTGTACCTGCGTTCCTCATCACTGACTCACCGATAATCCCCTCGGTCCCTCCCTCTTAAATCCTCCTCTTTGCCTAGGGGCTTTTCCCTCCCACCCACTGTTTACACTGCCGCAGGGTGCTGGCCTTGGGGTCCCATCCCCCGTGCTGTGTGTGCTTCATCGCGGCTGGCCTGTAAAGCTCTACGCCCCCTTTTAGGGGGGCCGCCATGTAATCCGGTCTGGGGGGCTCGGCCAATTTCCTGGTCCGGGGAAACCGTGGAACATCATCCCTGCTAGGGGGGTCCTTGGGTGAAAACTCATCGTACCAGGTGATCCCTCCTCGAGGCCCTACGGGGGTGCATGTGAGTGTTTAGTGGGGCGTGCGTTCGTTCATGGGGGGGGGGGGCGAGGAGAGGGCAGCGTCGGCCGAGTTGCTCCGCTGCGGTGGCACCACACACTCATGAATATTAATCACAGTAGACAAGCAGTTGTGTAAGAGGTTAAATCAGCGCAGGGTCTTGATCCCGAAGCAACATCCACGGCAGGGAGGTGGCTAAGGAGCAATGGGGGGGGGGGGGGGAGGGGCTTTTTACCCCAGATCGCATTGCAGTCAATACATAAACAAGCAAACGTGAGGTTTTGGCTAAAGACGTCTGAGACACGTGAAATGCCAACATTTCGTAAGCTGGCAGGAAGTCCAGAATCGGCGGCAGAAAGCAATTGAAATATCCCGAGGGGGAATTGGCGATGTGATGAATGGTTAAATGTTCCTCCTCTTCCCTCAACCAAAGACAAAGCCCCCCCCCCCATATAGCCTTTGGGGCAAGTGCTGTGAGCGAGCACCCATGAAGGCCGGCAGCGGCACACAAACAATAATAATAATATTATAACACCAACACCCCCGCCATTCGCCATTAAGTCACGGTGACGTCTCAACAGCGCCCGTGCCAGGCCAGGTGCACTTTGAGGCAACGTGAAGCGTAGAGGGCTCGCTGCTGACAGGAGGAGGTCTCGGAACAGACCCAGATGGTGCCATGGGTTGGCTGACTGAGATGACCGGTAGATGCACCACCAGCTGTACCCCCTACTGTGTCAACTTGCTGCATTTTATCCGCCGGGCACTCTGCTCGTTGTTGTGAGCGTCGCTCCTCTGCCCTCCGTTGTTGTTGGAGGGTGACTGCCTCTGTGGAGGCCGACATCCACCCCACCGCCCTCGCTGGGCAGGTGGGGCACAACGTCCGCCCCCTCCACTCCCTCCTCCGCCGTATCGATCGGCTCTCGCCAGGCCCACGCCGACCGAGTGATCGCCCCCCCCACGCTAGCGCCCTCTCTGAGGGACGTGGCTAAACTGCTGGCTTACCGCCGCACGGGGTTACTCTACACACGCCCACGTACACCACCACTCATACGAAAGGCGGTTGCGCGAATATGCGCACGCGCCTCCAGGCAATTAATTGAACGCTTGCGCGCAAGCGTCGGCGGCTGTTTATGTTTTTAATACACGCGCGTCTCACACACACACGTTCATTAACGGCGCAAATACACACTACCTGGAGGGGGAATATTTCGCGAGAAGAGCCTAGCCTAACTCTGCCTACGAACCCAGTCACTCAAACGTCCTACCACGTACCTCATAGCTGTACTCACGGCGTCGCACGGATGCTGTGAGAATCGGAGGGAGAAGGACGCGAGAAAACTTTACCTATCACTGCCTCGTAGCAGCACTCGCTGGCATCACAAGGATGCTGCGAGCGGCTTGAAGAGGCAGGACGGCAGGGAGTGGGTCTTGATGTCCCGGAGGTTGAAGATCATAGAGCAAAATCGTCCCAGGCTACTCTCTTTATTCCCTTAACTTCAAAGGCCTGGGGTGCCATTGTACCACGCGGCCAATCGTGCGCTTACCTGTGGCTACCGCCCCCCCTGTTACCGTGTCCTCCCTCGAGTGCTGCGCAGCGGCGGCGGCCACCCATTGTCCCTCGTTGCCCATTGTCTGGAAGGGATCTTGCGCTTTTGCTTGCTTAATATTCCGCCCTCCGTCCTCCCTCCAATGTTGTGAGTAAACTCATCGCGGTTGGCCCAGGGAACCCTTTCTTTCTGTGCCCACACAATTTTATAACAATTTTAGGGGCACCGCAATGTAACCTGCCCTGCGAGGGTCGGCCAATCTCCTAGCACCGGGAAACCGTGGGGCTTTCCCTCTAGGGGCCCTTCGGATTAAAACCCGATGTGTCAGGCAATCCCCCACCAGGACACTACGTGAGTGCAAGTGCTGCGTGTGTGTGTGTGCTGAGGCCGATCCTGACACCGCTGGTACCGGTCGTCGTCAAGTCCACTCAGCTTCACATCCTCCCATATCGCACCAGCTCCATGTCTTCTCCAGCCCGTGTCGTGCCCGTTTAGCAACACCCTCTATGCGGCCAAACAAAAGCTGCTTGAGCATGCGGTGTCTGCGCACGCGGGCTACGTGACCCAGCCAACGCAGCCTCGCCTGCACCCAACCTCCACCCCAAACGCACGCACCTTTGCTGGCTCGATTTCAGCACAGATTATGTAAGAGGACTCGACACGATGCGCTAATCAAAGTTTCAAAGTTTTGTTTCTTCTGCGCATTCGTCCTCGCCACTGCGCTTGGACACGACACGACAACAGAACGATCCGCGCCAGGCGGGTCGCGGCGTTTATGTGCGCGGTGGGACGGAGTCGCCAAAAATAAATGTACTAATTACGATTTTGACTTCCGTTTATTCGGGTCCTGCCATAAGGTTCGATTGCTGCTAGGTTGGCAGATGAAATGTGGCAGAGTGTCCATAGTTTACGAATGTGTCAGAGTAAACTGGGCTGCCATGGTACACTAGATTACCGTGATAAAAAGTCAAGTTTAACATGGAAATCAAGTTTACCACGGGAGTCCAATTTACCGTCGCCATCGTAACTCGGTGTTTCGTGCCTGATAATGACGCCGCCAAGTCTTGGCCGTGACCTCCCGTCCAGCGGCACACGAGAAGAGAAGTGAGACTTTTTTGTTGTCCCGCCCAACGTTTGCAGTCTTCTTCAAGTAATTGTAAATGAACCGATTATAACTGGTCGAGTAATTTATTTTTTGTTAGATTTTTTTTTCATGTACAGATTTTTTATTTGAAATCGAAGCAAGCGCGCACGAAGCTCAGTAACACGCCAGTGGTTTCGGTGTGGGTTAGGGGGATGCTCCCTGCCCACCCTGACGGAGGTCGGTGTGATTATTGGGGGTGTGGGGGGAAACAGCAAGCAACATTCATAGGGTAGATCTGGGGGTGTGGTTGTGTGTGTGTGTTGTGTTGGGTGGGAGTTGGAGTAACAATGTCTCTGTCCATCCCGGGCCCATCCACTCTCAACTGACGAAGAGGATAATTAGGAGAATAAAAAATGGTTATAATTGATTACTTAAATAAATCAGCCCAGCTGTTCAAAAAAACTAAACTAAAACATGTTTACACTGTCGAAAGTGCACACGTTTTTAGTACGCTAGGTAAAAGATAAACTAAACATTTTTTTTATTTTACCAGGTAAGGCCCACTGAGCTATACAGCTCTTTTTTAGAAGCGACCTGGCTGTCACAAATGATAGCTCAACGAAGCGGCTCATCAAGTGGAAATGTATAGCAGCCAAAGACTCTAAATGCGCGATGTTGATTCTAAATGTGGAGGGGGAAAACCGGAGAACCCGAAGGAAAATCCACACGACCACGGGAAAAACACGCAAACTCCAAATATTGTAGATTTGAAGATTTCGTGACTGCAAGGATCCATATTCTTTGGTTCTTTCGGTAAAGTCACGGAGGTGGAAAAAATAATGAAGATAAAATAAATTAAATCACGACATTTCGACTTGAGTAAAAAAGATTTATTGCTGTGGTTGTCACACCTGATGATGATTGCTTGTGTTGCAATCGAAACGTCGTGCTTCAATTTATTTATTTATTATTATTTTCCCACCTACGTGACTTTACCGAAAGAACCAAAGAATCTAAACTCCAAATATACAGGGCGCTAGGGTCGGGATCGAACCCACAACCTCCTGCATACCAGGCGAGGTAGTTCACATCTCGCCACCGTTAAGGCTGTGAGAGCGCTTTGCGAGCACCTATTAGGGCTGACGTGCACAGCACCACGCCTAGCGGCCTTCCCATCTCCCACTTCATATTCACATGACCACATCAGCTTCTCAATCAAGGCCAGGAGGGCACAGCAGTGTGACAACACTGCTCCCCGAGTCGTGTGCGAGCCCGTCCTTGGTATCCCCTAGGTTGACTCAGCCTTAAAACGAGTCCCCGATGCGCTGAATAAAATTCAGCACTGCAAAGACGAATGCACACAGGTGTGGAGTTGGCCCATACCACACCCGTTCGTGTGTCATCCTGGCCATGACGAGTGCTCGCTAACAGCATTGACCGACGAAGGAGCATTTGGCTAAATTCGAGATCCGTGCCTTTGCCATGCCGGGTTCGTTACGTCAAGAGCATAGGGCAGATCAGTGGATATAATTAGGTGGCAAGATTAAAACACGGGAAGTGTAAAAACCATGTAGAAATCAAGACTAAATGCCCAGACATTTATATAAAAAAAAATGTTTAACTAAAACTGCAAACCATGATATTGCGCTCTTAGCGCGTGTAACAAGTCAAAAAAAAAGTTGTTGTGCTTCATTCTCCGATGTATTTTACAGTTGTACCGCGTGTTGTTTTTTTTTTAGCACGATGTCCAACGTTTCGCCCCAAGGAAAAATGAGGAAACTGAACCGAGCGGCTCTCCCTCCCTCTCCCCTCTCTCGACGACATCGCGTTTGCCGGCCGCTGCCGGTCGCTGTGAACATTGCGCCCTGAACACGCGGCCTACAACCCTGGACGCATCGCGCGAAAACCGACGCAGCAGTGTTCGCGCTTCGGTATTGACAAATTCAGCGCGACGAGCTGTCGAAAAAAGGACGGCAGCTTAAACGTCAGCCACCGCCGCCAGCGCCGGCAGCAGGGCTAGGATCGTCACGCCGGCTGCGGTCATGGGACGCAGCGCCCCGCCGGCTGTTGAAGACAGGAGAGAGACGCAGGCTTTAGCTGCGACATTGATTACGCACACACACACACACACACCGGGGCAAGCTAGCCCACGGTACGTACACAGGGCTTTATTTATGAGACAGGGGGGGCGGGGGGCGGGGGGGAGGTGTAGCTCCCAAACGTTGGTATTTAATTGCTATACGAATACATGCATCCATTGTTTTTTTGTTTATTGATGTTATATTAGCTTAAAGTTCTGGGACCACCCCGACCCTTGGGAAGATACGAAGAAGATCCGGGGCGCATCTCGGGCGATTTCGCCATGGCCAGATGGATTCGCCGAAGACAATTACATTTCCCCTGTCACAAACAACGCAGAGCCTGAGAAACTGTGCCCTGGGTCTTCAAATCCCCAAATGAGGACACATGCAGACAATGTGTGTTGTATTTGGAGAGCCTATGCTATGACCACACATGCACGGGTGGCTGGCACAATGAATCCTTGCTACAGACAGCAAATGTTTGTGGTGGTTGGCATATTCTTTGTTGTGGTGGAAATTTATCGTTCAAACATGGAAGCATTTGTTATGGGTTTACACATTCGCTTAAGGACGCAGTCGGTCTCACCCATCGTTCCTATAGTGGATAAACAAAAGTATCTCCCTCCACATTTTAAACAAATAGAATGAGTCCATTGACTTTATTGGTTTTCCAGTACCAATATTATCCAGCAGCAAAATCTGGATGGGTTTTGACCCGATGGGTCTCATCAACAAAGCCAGACTGGTTAAACAAATACTACTGGGGTTACCCGATGTTATTGGCAAGAGCACTACATCTAAGCTATGGTGCCCTGTTCATTGCAACAACGAAAAAGCAATAGAGTATACACATGCGTTGTTGATGAGTCTCATATTATGGAGCACATCCATGTGGTCCTGTGTTTGTGATGGAGAATGTTTTCACCTGTGTCTGTGATGGAGAATGTTTTCACCTGTGTCTGTGATGGAGAATGTTTTCACCTGTGTCTGTGATGGAGAATGTTTCCACCTGTGTCTGTGATGGAGAATGTTTTCACCTGTGTCTGTGATGGAGAATGTTTTCACCTGTGTCTGTGATGGAGAATGTTTTCACCTGTGTCTGTGATGGAGAATGTTTTCACCTGTGTCTGTGATGGAGAATGTTTTCACCTGTGTCTGTGATGGAGAATGTTTTCACCTGTGTCTGTGATGGAGAATGTTTTCACCTGTGTCTGTGATGGAGAATGTTTCCACCTGTGTCTGTGATGGAGAATGTTTTCACCTGTGTCTGTGATGGAGAATGTTTTCACCTGTGTCTGTGATGGAGAATGTTTTCACCTGTGTCTGTGATGGAGAATGTTTTCACCTGTGTCTGTGATGGAGAATGTTTTCACCTGTGTCTGTGATGGAGAATGTTTTCACCTGTGTCTGTGATGGAGAATGTTTTCACCTGTGTCTGTGATGGAGAATGTTTTCACCTGTGTCTGTGATGGAGAATGTTTTCACCTGTGTCTGTGATGGAGAATGTTTTCACCTGTGTCTGTGATGGAGAATGTTTTCACCTGTGTCTGTGATGGAGAATGTTTTCACCTGTGTCTGTGATGGAGAATGTTTTCACCTGTGTCTGTGATGGAGAATGTTTTCACCTGTGTCTGTGATGGAGAATGTTTTCACCTGTGTCTGTGATGGAGAATGTTATCGGTCTCACCATTGCCCTCGAGGATGTGGTAGGTGGTCTCCATGCCGGCGTAGATGTGCTCCGTCAGGTGACAATGCAGGAGCCACGTGCCTGGATTTCGGGGCCTCATCTCCACGGAGTCGGATGTGCCGGGGAAGAGCTCGTGAACATCTCCCCGGTGATCATGGCGCTTCTGCGTGACCGCAGTCCACACACACAGGTCACTGCCTCTTCGCTCCTGTTTTCATTCACTTTTGTTTCACATTTTAGCGCTTCCCCCAACTAAGAGGTTCAAAGCATTGACGCACTAGCGACTGTAATCTCTTCATCGGTACAGGTCGCTAAAATTTGATTTGGAAAAAGTTGCCTCTTCAACTTAACCGGCGAGCCGGAACTATTTATGAAACTATTTATAAAACAACTGTTTATAAAACTGTTTATAAATCGGTGGCATGTCGGTTGGTGGCGGAGGCTCTTACGATGCATATCCGGCCAGATTACTATGATGATTATTATGCTATTACGTGGCCTAACCCAAAAAAAAATCTATTACGAATCATTACCTCGGCTGCGCAAACCAACCCAGGTGTTGGCATGATGGTGAAGATGCTGCTACCGACGCTCCCGGCGTGTGACCACCCCCCCCTCCTCCCCGTGAAGACGCCCGGCGTGGACTCTCACCTTGTAGAGGAAGGTCTCCCCGTGGAAGTGCACCGTGTGGATGTCCACCTCGTTGCCCATGCCCAGGAGGTACCAGGCCACCTTCTCCCCCCGGTACATGCGAAGGCCGCGCGCGTTTCCGTACAGCCACCCGTTGATCGCTGCCAGGGCATCGGTGTGTTTAGTGGAGTTCGCTGGCTCCCGCTCACACGCAACGGTGCGATTCTAATCATTCTTATGCTATCCTAATCCCCGCAACCTTCGATTAACGCTGTTGGCTAAGGTCGGTGCGAAATAAGTTCAACACACGTGCAACATGCATACATGCGACCGCAATTTGATTATAATGAATCGAATGCGATTCGAATCCCGCACCTTGCGATTAGCGCGGCTGGCTACGTACGGTGCGAAAGAAGTTCAACATGCATACATGTATGTTGAAAAGTGTAACAGATAACAACATGTACTTGATAAGAATATAGGCAACGCCAAGTCTCGTCACTCAAGACACTTTTGTTGAACGAGTGCCTACATTACACAACGATGCCTCGATACTTCGTTTAAAAGTTGCAAGGAGCAAAAAAAGCACTACAGGCATCGGATTCTTGAACCGATCCGTGCGGAGCTTTGCCCGATGGCGCTCGACGCTGCTCCGTGCTTCCCCCCACCGTGCATGCGGTTGCTCTCCTTGAAGCCCTCGTCGGAGGTGTCGACCCGCTCGGGGTGAACGCAGAACGTGCGCACGTTGTCCTCCAGGTACCACGAGAGGTTCTCGTCGTAGATGAGGAAGAGGAGCGCGAACTCGCGGTCGACGTCCGCCCTGCGGCCCTCCGCGCCCAGCACGCCGGCCTCGCAGACCACGAGCGGCCCAAGCAGCCCGCTGTAGAGATCCTGGCAGAGACGCGCAGCACGGGCACCGTCACGGGCACCGTCACGGGCACCGTCACAGGCACCATTACGGGCACCGTCACGGGCGCCGTCACGGGCACCATCACGGGCACCGTCACAGGCACCATCACGGGCACCGTCACGGGCACCGTCACAGGCACCATTACGGGCACCGTCACGGGCGCCGTCACAGGCACCGTCACAGGCACACGCGCGGGACGGCGAGGTGCAGCGTGGCTTCTCGCCGTTTGGTCGGAGAGATCGCGTGGTCCTCCTCGACTAGTCCCCCTAAAAAAAGAGCTTTACAGCTCATCTGATTCCTCCGCCAGTAATAAAATAAAGATTCTGATTTGGCCGATGCTCCTTAGCACGTTCCGCGAAACGTCGGGGCCATCGTGCTGAACGACCCGATTGAAACACCAGGGGAGCTGGACAGCCCAACCGCCACACGAATAAAGTCGCAAGGAGTTGTCAAAGCAGCGCTTAGCGCGCGGTCACGACCTGCAATCCGCTTTCAACCGAGAAGATGGATTCTGGCTTAGCAATCATTGGAAGGATTTGATAAACCATTTGGGGTCTTAATTGATTGATCGCGCTTAAGGTGGCTTTCAGACCGCATCCATTGTTTTTCGTCTCTCCCCTCCTCTTTTCCAAACATAGATGGACTCGTCCATCTGAACAAACTGTCAAATCGCTCTCCGTGGTGCTAACGTTAAAAATAACCGCCACTTTTTTCAAATTTTCTTGCTGTGGTTTTCACACCTGATGATGACTGCTTGTGTTGCAGTCGAAACGTCGTGAGAATTTGATTGTTTTATATTTTTATTATTTTATTGTTTCCCTTCTACGTGACTTTACCGAAAGAACAAAGAATATGAATCCCTGCAGTCACGAATACTTTAAATCAAAATGTAGTCCCCCTCCCCGCGACGACGGCACTCGACGTCTGCGATGGCGGGTGTCCCCTCGTCGCTAAGCGGAACCCCGCTGGGAACGTGCGGGGACCACGCTGCCCGGATCGCGGCTCCTGTCGCGAACCGGATGTGCGGTCCCTCGAGCTCAACCCCGTCAAGCGAGACGTGTGCGTGCGTGTGCGTTGAACTTCGTTCGCACCGTACGTTAGCCAACCGTGCCAATCGGAGGTGCGGGATTAGAATATTGCACACACACACGCACGCTCGCACACACACACAGTTCATATGGCTCACATACACACACACAGGTCACATGGCTCATACACACACACAGGTCACATGGCTCATACACACACAGTTCACATGGCTCACACACACACACAGTTCACATGGCTCACACACACACACACACACCCAGTTCATATGGCTCACATACACACACACAGGTCACATGGCTCACACACACACAGGTCACATGGCTCATACACACACAGGTCACATGGCTCACACACACACACAGTTCATATGGCTCACACACACACAGGTCACATGGCTCACACACACACACACAGGTCACATGGCTCACACACACACAGGTCACATGGCTCATACACACACAGGTCACATGGCTCACACACACACAGGTCACATGGCTCACACACACGTCACATGGCTCATACACACACACACACAGGTCACATGGCTCACACACACACACAGGTCACATGGCTCATACACACACAGGTCACATGGCTCACACACACACAGGTCACATGGCTCACACACACACAGGTCACATGGCTCATACACACACAGGTCACATGGCTCATACACACACAGGTCACATGGCTCACATACACACACACAGGTCACATGGCTCACACACACACACAGGTCACATGGCTCACACACACACACACAGGTCACATGGCTCACACACACACAGTTCACATGGCTCACACACACACACAGGTCACATGGCTCACACACACACACACACAGGTCACATGACTCACACACACACAGGTCACATGGCTCACACACACACAGGTCACATGGATCACACACACACAGGTCACACGGCTCATACACACACACAGGTCACATGGCTCACACACACACACAGGTCACATGGCTCACACACACACAGGTCACATGGCTCATACACACACAGGTCACATGGCTCACACACACACAGGTCACATGGCTCACACACACACAGGTCACATGGCTCACACACACACAGGTCACATGGCTCACACACCCACAGGTCACATGGCTCACACACACACAGGTCACATGGCTCACACACCCACAGGTCACATGGCTCACACACACACAGGTCACATGGCTCACACACACACAGGTCACATGGCTCACACACCCACAGGTCACATGGCTCACACACACACAGGTCACATGGCTCACACACCCACAGGTCACATGGCTCATACACACACAGGTCACACGGCTCCTGAAGGTGAACAGCGTTTGATGTCCACGGCGTGACGAGGAGGCGCCACCGTGCACATCAGCGATGCTCCTCGCGTGATTTCGCGATTCACAAAAACGACCAACTACATCTCGTCACCCGCATACCACGCCTGGCACGTAACGGTGCAAAAGTTAAGATCCTTGCGATGACGTGCATCGAATCGTGCGTACTGCTGCACGCAACCACGCTGGGGCTCTTTCAAAGCGTGCGCTCCGCTCCGTGCTCTGCTCCGTGCTCCACTCCGCGCTACACGCCGCGCGCTAAGCGCTGCTTCGACAACTCCTTGCGACTTTATTCGTGTGGCGGTTGCGCTGTCCAGCTCCCCTGGTGTTTCAATCGGGTCGTTCGGCACGATGGCCCCGACGTTTCGCGGAACGTGCTAAGGAGCATCGGGCGAATCAGAATCTGTATTTTATTACTGGAGGAGGAATCAGATGAGCTGTAAAGCTCTTTCACCAAAAAGTATTCGAAATAAACTATTTGTATCTGACCAGGTAAAGGCCACCGAGCTATATGCTTCTCTTTCAGAAGGGACTTGACCACAGATGGTATAGCAGCAAAGTACTCCAAACGCACTTCGCTAAACATGGAGGAAAAAATCGGAGGACCTGGAGAATAAATCCACGCGAACCCAGGGAAAGAGGGAGCCAAATATACAGGCATCAGCCCGACCCCTCCTGCACACCAGGCGAGTGAGATAACACCACAACAGCGTGGAATTGAGTTGCTGAAGGGGGCATATTAAAAAGCTGAAGGATATCCCAGCACGCGGGGACAATCGTCAGACATCGTGCTCAACGACACGCGGTCACGACCTGCAATCCGCTTCGAAGCGATAGCCCTCGTGTGTGGCTGGGGACCGCACGAGGTTAAGCCACGGGCCACAGATGCCACCCCCCCCCCCCCCCCCCCGCGTCTGCCACCGCGGGCACCAGAGCCCCGGCGTGTGCGGATCTGCAGGATTCCCTCCGGCGCTCACCTTCACGGGGTCCACTCTGGAGTAGTAGGTCCACGTGACACAGTTGGGGTCACTCGGTCCAGGCCCAGAGGCCTCCGTGACCTCCCAGCGGTAGGTGTGGGTCTTTCCTGCGGGGGGGGCGGGGGGAGGGCCCAACACGCGACCTCAACAAAACGGCCCGCGCGGCGGTAGCGACGCTGCGTGCCGTGTGCTGTGTGCTGCGTGCTGCGTGCCGTGTGCCGTGTGCCGTGTGCCGTGTGCTGTGTGCCGTGTGCCGTGTGCCGTGTGCCGTGTGCCGTGTGCCGTGTGCCGTGTGCCGTGTGCTGTGTGCCGTGTGCTGCGTGCTGTGTGCCGTGTGCCGTGTGCTGTGTGCTGTGTGCCGTGTGCCGTGTGCTGTGTGCCATGTGCTGCGTGCCATGTGCTGTGTGCCGTGTGCCGCGTGCCGTGTGCCGTGTGCTGTGTGCCGCGTGCCGTGAGCGCCTTACTCCCCCGCTGTGCTGCCGCCTGCGTCTTGTCCTGCAGCATGCGGCGCCTCCCGACACAACTACATGGCCATCGATGTGCCCCGCGTGTTTCTTATGCTTCGCGTATGCCTCGTGTTGTGTGCGTGTGCCGCGTAGCGCGTGCGTCTCTTGAGCCGTGCGTGTGCCGTGTATGATGCGTGTCCCCCGTGTTGCACGCGAAAGCCTGCGTACCAAATTAGGGCCCAACATTATTAATCGAAAAATATAAACAAAATACCAATATTCTGGGTTCTCAAGTGGGAGGGTGGGAAGGTGTTAAGGTCTTCCAACTAGCTCCAAGACAACTGGTGTACCCTCCCCCCCCCATCTCTCGCGGTTCACGCTCACTGGGATCGGTCTGCACTCACCGGGATCGGTGGCGGTTGTGTCGCCCACCGCCGCTTCCACCCCGTGGGCGTGCACGCTGTACGGGCGGCTCGCCTCGTTCCGGAAAACCACGGTCAGCTCGTCCCCGACCTCGGCCCGCAGCACGGGCCCTGCGGTGGATGGCGCACGGCACCGGGGTGGCGGTGTCAATGACGACGCGGTGCAGGGACACTTTGTCGCTCCATCGCCTAAACTATTAACTTGTTATTTTACCGGGTAGGGCCGGAGGTAACCCACGCAGACGCAGCGGGAGAGAATATAAACTCCGCGTAGAAAAGGGTGGCCCGGAGTCAGGAAATCGTATCCAGGCCCCTTGTTGCTGTGAGTTACAAATGTTACCACTGCACTGCCACCCTGCCACCCATCATCATCATCATCATCCCTTGCTGGAATAAATTAATATTAAATCAATTAATATGGAGTAAGTATTGCAGTAATTATTGATTACAAATTATTGCTCAACTTCATTGAGCAATTTGTGGGCCAGGTCTCTTATGAAAAAAAGAGCCATACGCACGTATGTACGTTGAACTTCTTTCACGCCGTACGTGGCCAACCGTGCTAAATCGAGCTCTGTGGGCCTTATCTGGCAGTGTAAACAAAAAACAATCTGGCGGTGTAAAAATAAAATAAGTAATATTTAAAAAAAACACGCTTCAATAAAATGTACCGTGCTAGTAATGGAAAAACTCCACGACTCCAGAAAGTGGGCCCGAAGCTTGCCACAACATAAGGGGACCGTGGGCAATTACAGCCAACGTCAGTTGAGCGTGGACAATTAGACCCAAGCCGAAACATAACATATAAAAAAGAATGTTTAAAAATATATATATTTAATGATAGAATATAGTTTTGTCATCAGTATGACATACGTATACCAAGTTTGCAGTCGATACCACATTGGGAAGTGGGTTAAAATTGAGTTACAAGATTTGAGGATACAACGACAACAATGACAACAACGACAACAACAGACAGAGTGAGTTGAATAAAAGCGTGCAATAAAACAACTGGCACTGGTGCTGCGCGCGACGCGGTGCGGAGTTGGGGGCGGAGGGGTACCGAGGATGCCGAGATGCTCCTCGTCGGGGCCTCTCCCGCGGAGCTTGGTGAAGGTGGCATCCTCATACTGCAGGTACACGGCCTTCTTGTACACGGAGCCGATCCGCTCGTCCCCGCGGGCAGTGAACTTGGCGGCCTCGCTGTAAACGACGCCGCGGGGAGACGCGGGTGCCACGGACACAAGTCAGCAGGGGAAAGCATAAGCATATCTTATTATGATTTATACATAAATAGTTTTGTGTGTATATATATAAACTAGCGAAACTAAACTCGTTATTTTACCAGGTTAAGGCTATATAGCCCTTTTTTTAGAACCGTCCTGGCTATAACAAATGCTTGCTCAACGAAGTGGCTTATCTTGTGGACATTTATAGCAGCTAAATACTCTAAACACGTGATGTTCATTCTAAATGTGGAGGGAAAAACCAGAGGACCCGGAGAAAAATCCACGCGACCACCGGGGAGAGAGACACGCAAACTCCAAATATGCAGCAGGCGTAAGGGGTTGGGATCGAACCCACGACGTCCTGCATACCAGGCGAGCTAGTTAACATCTTGCCATTGTGCCGCTGTGGTGTAACGTTTCGCAGCACACTGAACTTGCAATCGTCCGGGTCGCTGGTTAGGTTCACTATCCTCGCAGAGGCTTTTCGCTGGCCATCGAACAAAGACAGTCCGCATCGCGCGCTTTCGCGGCCGTCTGCAACGTTCTTACCTCCGATATTAGGAAGCCACTGGGGATATGCACTTTTAAATATAAATTGAAAACTATTTTTTTAAAAATAGCTTTTTGTGTTTAGTTTATTTCACCCCCCCCGCCCCCGCCCCCGCCCGCACCTCCGATTAGCACGGTTGGTTACGTACGGTGCGAAAGAAGTTCAACACACGTACGGACATATATCCATCCATTCCAGCGCGGCAGTTGAAACGATCCACCCACTGCAGTCCGTCGATCGTCGCGCTTGCGGCGAGGGGCCCACCTCGCGCAGAAGAGTAGGCCAAAAACCCTCCAAGGGGGGCATCTCTGGAGCTGCCTGCGCTAGTGGCTATTCTGTCAGCAGCAGAGCGAGCAATAACTCGGGGGAGGGCCTCCACCTTCACTTTGCACAAAGCGTTTCACACCCGCGTGACGTGGCCTCGCGCCGCTAAAAACGGGTTATGACAGTGGAAAGTTTGAATTCGAGCATCAACGACTTAAAATACGCAGCCCGGAGATTTTAAAAATCGACGCATGCAAGAACACTGAAGCGCATCGACTAAAATCCGCCTCGCTCGCTTTTTTTCCCCCAGAACATAGATGGGCTCGTCCTTCTAAACAAACTGCCAAATCGCTGCCCGTGGTGCTAACGTTTATATAAATAAATAAATGCGCCGTTTATAAATAAACAAATTCAAACCGCCACTTCTTTCAAATGTTTCTTGCCGTTTTTTTTTTCACACCTGATGACGACTGTCTGCGTTATGGTCGAAACGTCGTGATAATTTTTATTGTTTTATATATATTTTATTATTTTATTGCTTCCCTTCAACGTGACTTTACCGAAAGAGCTAAGAACATGCTCTCGCCACTTAACAAAATCGGGCGACGCGGCAACAATCATTTCACGGGGGCAAACACCGAAGAAGTCGAAACCCTTTCAGCAATTCGCCGCGTCACCGTTGGAGCGAACAATCCACCGACGCAACACGGCTGCCTGGAAGTGCCCGCCCCGCCCCGCCCCGCCCCGCCTCGCTCGCCAGCGACGGCCTCACCTGGCCTCGGGGTTGTCCCCGTGTCGCTCCTTCTCCCAGGTGTCGTCTGGAAAGTAGTCCCAGTCGACCTCGCGGGCTGCCAGGTAGTAAACGCGCCGGCGCCGCGAGCCGCCAGGGTCGGCGGTGCCTGGCCCCGAGCATCGGGACACCGAGTAAAACTGCTTCATGCCGGCCAGGTAGTGATCGGCGGTCTGGCATCCCACCTCGAACTTGCCTGCGTGCTCCCACGAGAGAGAAAAAAACGAAATAACGACGATTCCCGCCCTGGCTGCGGTGGACGGCGATGGGAACGAGCGGCAAGGGCTGCGTCGGTTGTGGCGGTCGTGCTGCTGCACACAGCCCTCGGGTGTGTCCTCGGGTTGTACCGCGGCACCGTCGGGCACGAGTCCGACATTCCGCTCCACGTGCTCGGCTCGAACAGCCAACGGGCCAGATCAGGACTTGTCACCCACCTAAGGCAGAAGTGGAAGCTGGCCCAGAGTGTGCTTATGGTGAAGCCAGTGCCTGCTGCTCAAACTTCATTCGACTATTTTGTTTTATTTTACCAGGTAAGGAGGCCCCACTGAGCTGTGAAGCTCTTTTTCAGAAGCGACCTGGCCCAGCGAAGTGGTTTATCACGTGGAAATGCATAGCAACCAAATACCGCATAACAGCATGTAGATTCTAAATTACGGAGGGAAAAACCGGAGGACCCATAGAAAAATCCACACGACCACGGGAAGAGACAGAGACATTCAAACTCCAAACATTACAGGCGACGGGGTTGGGGTATAACCCGCGACCTCCTTCATCCCAGGCGAGAGATATAACATTTCGCCACCACCGTGCAGCCAATGGGATGTGAGGAAGTGATTTTTAAAAAATGCATGTGGAGAGACAAATATGGGAAGGAGGTGCATTGTCGGCTTATTTATTTTGTTTGCTTGGGAGTCGGGTCAAACGATCACGCCGCGGTCTTAAGGGCGTAAAAATGCCTCTGCCGTAGGATTGCGGAGACCAAATCGCCGCATTTGATACAAATCCCCATCCCGCGTGCCTTTCATGCTACATGTTATTGGAAAAACGTATTACCATAGCCTGGGGAAATATGTTTGCATGTGTTAAACATTTATATTCGTTGTATGCATTAGTATTTTATTGAATCTTGTACGAAAAAAAACCCAATTGGTATTGCCCCCTGCCAATAACATATTGAAAGTAATAAGCAAGTGGGGGACATTTGGTGGGGTGCGTTGGGGACAGTCAAAGGATGCGCTGGGAGACATTTGTAGGATGCCATGGGGACAATTGGTGGGATGCGTTTGGGACATTTGGTTGAACGCATTGGGGAAACATTTGCGGGATGTTTTGGGGATACATTTGCGGGTTGCGATGGGGGCCAGTCGTGGGAGGCGTTCGGAATCCGTGACGGCATCTGCGCGGGAGCGCGCTGCGATGCGTGCGGCTCTAACCGGCAACGCGCGCCACCATGCTCGCCGTGCGGGCGACGTGCGGGAAGAGGCCGAGCGATCCGATGCGCCGCCCGCCCGCCAGCAGCGTGTTGCCCAGCACAAAGACGCCGTGCATGTCCACCTCGTTGCCCACGCCCAGGAAGCTCCAGGACACGCGGCCGCCCTGGCACACCGACAGACCCGGCTGGTTCCCGAACATGAAGCCGTTGATCGCTTCACGCGGAGACGGCGGCGTACGGTGGCAGCCATGGCAGCAGCAGCAGCAGCAAAGGCAACAGGAGTGGCAGCAGTAGCGGCAGCAGAAAAATCAGCCACAAGCAGCCACAACAATGTTTACATTAATCTTTCATCGAGATGCCAAAACGTTATAATTGTCAACGTATTAAAGATAGGAGGTACAAAAGTAACATTACTTTAAGACTGCATTAAGTACTGTACTGAAGCATTAAACAAGTGGACGTAACTGGGAGTGCTCGATGGAAAGTTCTCGAGGAGAATCATGGACGGAGCCAAATTGAATAAGGCAATCATCACCGACGTCTTTGTACAAAGGACATTCCACGTGGAAGGAAACCGTTGAACATCATTGGCTCACGTGACCCCTGCAGCCACTAGAGGCGCCACCATTCGCCACTATAATTTTTGTTATTAATTGAATTCGCGTTATAAATCGTGCCGACGATGGGCAATGAGGAGTGTGGCGAATCGCGAGGGGCCTCGGGGACGCGAGCTGGGCCACATCACGGCCACTGGGCGAGATGGGAAGAGGGAGCGTGAAGAGGAGACGTCTCTGACTCACTGGGGGGTCAGGAGTGGGGGGGGGGAGGGGGTCAGGATTGGGGGGGGGGAGGGGGGTCAGGAGTGGGGGGGGGGGAGGGGGTCAGGAGTGGGGGGGGGGGAAGGGGGTCAAGAGTGGGGTGGGGGAAGGTGGTCAGGAGTAGGGAGAAGGGGTCAGGAGTGGGGGGGGGAAGGGGGTCAGGAGTGGGGGGGGAAAGGGGGTCAGGAGTGGGGGGGAAGGGGTCAGGAGTGGGGGGGGGGGTCACCCCAGCTACCGTGCATCTTGTTGGACTCTTGGAAGTCTGCGTCCTCCTTGTCGACGGCGCTGGCGTTTCCAGCGAAGTGCTCGATGTTATCGTCCAGGTACCAGCTTTCGTTCTCGTCGAACACGGTGTAGAGGAGGAAAAACTCCTCGTCGAACGCTTTCTGCAGAGGGGAAATAATGGCAGTGACGGCACCATCCAGGGTCGTGATCTGATGCAAGGTTACCGTGCGCTTCAAATATCTACATTTTGACGAATTCAGCAGCGGCCTCTTGCTTGGCAGTTGAAACAACGGGGCGAGTGTTCCTCAAATCCTCGCAAGCCTCTGTCCACCCAGCAGTACACCAATGGGCATACCACAGCGCAGTCGACTGTCCGCGTCTCGTGTGGCGGGCGCAAAGTGGGGCTACTCCCCCACCACATCCGAGAGGTTCCGCAGACGCGGAACAATCGGTCCCAAATGAAAACCTTCTCGGAGCGCGCTTTCTGGATCTCGCTCGAAATGGCGAAGGCCCTTCAGAACGCCGGCGGCGGCAGCGCCCGAACAACAAGCGGGGGCTCATGTTCTCTGGGCTTTTCGGCAAAGTCACGTAGGTGTTATTTTTATTTGAACCTACCTACGTGACTTTACCGAAAGACCCGAAGAATATGAATTCCTGCAGTCACGAAAGCTTTAAGTCAAGCAGGGGCCGCGCGCCTTCACCTGCTTTCCCGAGGGCTCCAGCGCCTCCGGGCGGCAGACGAGCAGAGGCCCGAGCAGCCCCGCGTTGGTGTCGCGGATGGAGTCGACGGCCGAGAAGTACATCCAGGCGAGGCAGTCGGGGTCGGAGGCCGCGGGACCGGCGCTCCGCGGCACCGCCCACGTGTACGTGAAGTTCCCGCCCGGTGGGACGTGTGAGGCCCGGCGCTGTGCCTCTAAAAAAATAATATATATACACACACACACACACAAGGACTCCTCTACTTACGAATGAGTTAGGTTCCAGAGGTCTGTTAATGACTTTACTCCTGTCGATTACAAACACGTTGTACGGCGTGCACACTAAACACGGGTAATGGCTTTAAAAGTTGTATCATCTCCTGTAGATGTAGATGCCACTGGGTCTTCACGTTCTGCAGATGTAGATGCCACTGGTTCTTCATGTCCTTCAGATGTAGATGCCAGCACAGCCATCTATTGCGCGGCGGTTGAACTTACGACCCTTGATCCGAACAGGCAACTCTCTGAGAGTTACTCATTGTTTTTTTGGTAAAGTCACGTATGTAGAAATGCAATAAAATTCTATTAAAACAAAAAACAATCACGACGTTTCGATCACAACGCAAGCGATCTTCATCAGGTGTCGAGAACAAATCACGGAGGTAAATACAACAAAAAGATGAGAGACGAGAATTCAACAAACATGAAAAAACATTACGTGAAGCACAACAACACAGTTAGACACTTCCTGGCGGACCACGAATTTCAGAAGAGTGTTCAATTTCGTGTTCAACCAATTCTCTGAGAGTTCGTAAGTTGAGTCCCTGTAACAGCGGGCGACGGCGGTCGCCGTTCCCTGTTGATCGCCGGTCTCGTCAGCGTGACGGCCGTCAGATTACAGCGCGCTGTTGGCAACGTCAGTGGCGCCAATTCGTCCTGTGGTGGTTGTTCCCTCTCTACTCTTTGGTTCTATTCGGTAAAGTCACGTAGGTAAAAAATAAAACAACAAAAATCACGACGTTTCGGCCACAACACAAGCGGCCTTCATCAGGTGAAGGGACCAGGCTGTCTCGAGGACAGCGCTGGAGTGAAACACAGCCACGCTCAGACCGCGGGCCTTTAAGCTGTGTGCAAGGAAACAAGGTGCCTTGACAAAGGAATTAGCATAAAAATTAGCATTTGATTGGCCGACTTAGTCGGCCAATCAAATGCTAATTCCTTGTTTCCTCGCACACAGCTTAAAGGTCCGCGGTCTGAGCGTGGTTGTGTTTCACTCCAGCGCTGTCCTCAAGACAGCCTGATCCCTTCACCTGATGAAGGCCGCTTGTGTTGTGGTCGAAACGTCGTGATTTTTGCTGTTTTATTTTTTACCTACGTGAGTTTACCGAATATAACCAAAGAGTATGGATCCTTGCAGTCACGAAAGCTTTAAAACTAGAATTGTTCCCTCTCTCTTGGCCGCCATTCTGTCGTTAAGTCCCAGGATCACTCATCCAGCAGTGGCGGCAGGCGTTTGCAGGGCTGCACACCTTTGTAATAATAGTAATATTAATAATAGTAATATTAATAATAATAGTAATATTAACACTCGCATTCATAATTTGCTCGTGACCTAATAAGACGTCTCGGAATGTTGATTTTTATCGTTGAGCCTCGGGGACACCCCAAATGGCAGTTTCTCCCGGTTAGATTTTACCGCGTTGTAAATGCTGCGGCAGGCCGAGGGAGCGCCTCCCTGCTGGGGTGGAGATGTGGTGGAAGCTGTGGGGAGGAGGAAGGAGGCAGAGGAGGAAGGAAAGAGGGGAGGAGGAGGAGGCCTCACCGGAGCGGCCGTCCGTGTAGACGATGCCCTCGTTGTCCTTGGTGACGAGCAGGCCGTGCGGCTGGATGCTGTAGGGCCGCGTCGCCCGGTTCACAAACGTCACCACCACCGTGTCGCCCACCTGGGCTCGCAGTACGGGACCTGTGGGTGCACGCGCAAAGACAACGATGGCCCGTGTAGCTTTCCACTTGCTGTTGGGGCGAGTGCCGTTAGCGAGCACCGTTGAAGGCTGGCACGGCACACAGGGCTGGATGGAAGAAACTATGCCCGGCTTGCCTTTGTCTCCCCAGCGACGATGTTCACACAGTGCACCTTCTAATATATTTTTTGTATGCCAAGTCAACCTAGGGGAGGCCCAGGACCGGTTAAAATAATCACTACCTGATATTATTGGTCACGAGCGTGAATCGAAGTCGCGTCGCTGAGTCATGCTGACCACCGCGCCACCGCTCATCACACCTCCAATTAGCACGGCTGGCTACATACGATGCGAAAGAAGTTCACAATACGTACATACACCACAACCACTACCCCCATACAAAGACAAAGATCCCCCGTATAGCCTTAACAGACTGTCAGGGCAAGTGCTGTTAGCAAGCACCTATAAAGGCCGGAACGGCACACGAGGGAGTGGGTGGCCAACACCACGCCCGGCCGCCTTTGTCTCCCCAGTGGCGATGTTTTTTATCCACCGCACCAGGTACTCATTTGAGGCTGAGTCGACCTAGGGGAGGCCTAGGACCGGTTCAGATAATCGTCACTGGTGTTGGCCGTGAGCGGGAATCGAACCCGGGTCGCCAGGTTCATAGCCAGCGTAGCGCTAACCGCTACACTACCGCTCCCCACACACACAAACACACAAATACACACACATACACACACACATACACAAAGATCCCCCATATAGCCTTAACAGACTGTAGGGGCAAGTGCTGTTAGCGAAGCACCTACGAAGGCCGGAACGGTACACGAGGGGGTGGGTGGCCAGCACCACGCCCGACCGCCTTTGTCTCCCTAGTAGCGATGTTTACACACCGCACCAGGTACTCATTTGAGGCTGAGTCGACCTACATACACAAGACAAAGACAAAGATCCCCCATATAGCCTTAACAGACTGTAGGGGCAAGTGCTGTTAGCGAGCACCTATGAAGGCCGGAACGGTACACGAGGGGGTGGGTGGCCAGCACCACGCCCGACCGCCTTTGTCTCCCTAGTGGCAATGTTTACACACCGCACCAGGTACTCATTTGAGGCTGAGTCGACCTAGGGGAGGCCTGGGACCGGTTCAGATAATCGTCACTGGTGTTGGCCGTGAGCGGGAATCGAACCCGGGTCGCCAGGTTCATAGCGATAGCGCGCTAACCGCTACACTACCGCTCCCCATACATACACACACACATACACACACACATACACAAACAATACACACACAACAACAACAATCGCCATTCGCCACTAAGTGGCGGTGACGTCACCACGACGCTTGTGCCAGGCTATGTGCACCCTGAGGCCACGTGAAGTGTCGAACGCCCGCTGGCAGGAGGTCACGGGGCAGACCCAGGTGCCACGGATCGACTGACTGAGATGACTGGCTGATGCACCACCTGTGCCCCCTACTGTGCCAACCTGCTGTGCTTTAGCCACCCGGCGCTCCGCTCGCTGTTGTGAGCGTCGCTCCTCCGCCCTCCGTTGTTGTTGGAGGGCGACTGCCTCCAACTGCCCAGTAGCATCCTTCACGAGCCTCCTCCACAGAGGCCGATCTTGACACCGCTGGTACCAGTCATCGGCAAGTCCACTCAGCTCCACGTCCTCCTGTACCACATCACTCCATCTCTTCTCTAGCCCGTGCCGCGCCCGCTTAGCCCCCTCAATCCGGCCAAACAAAAGCTGTTTCGGCATGCGGTGGCTGGGCATGCGGGCTACATGACCCAGCCATCGCAGCCTTGCCTGCCGGAGGAGCTCACCGATGGGACCCTGCCCAGATCTTTCAAGGATTTGTGAGCTCCTCACACAATCCAGTCTGGTTAAACCCAGGATGGATCGTAGGCAGGCCAGCCTAAATGTTTCTAACCGGCGAAGATGTTCCATTAGGGGGGTCCACGTTTCGCAAGCGTAGAGAAGGGAGGGAATGACCGTGGCCGAGAAGACCTGAAGCTTAGTGCGGAGCGACAGACCAGGTAGCTTCCACACAGCGTTACGCAACCGATGAAAAGATATTGCCGCTCGACTGATTCGGAGTGAGACCTCTGCTGTTAAACTGGAGCCAGTCATAAGCACACTGCCCAGGTATGGGAAACTCTCCACTCTCTCCACAACTGCCCCATCACCGATTGGGAGTTGTGGGGGTGGAGTGTCCGATGGTACAAAATACCCAGGCAGGTGCTTAGTTTTGGTGGGGCTGATGGTAAGGCCCCACCTCTTAGTGGCACGCTCCAGTCTCAGCAGCAGCGTCTCCAACTCCTCCTCTGACTGAGCAGCTATTACGAAATCATCAGCATACATAACGTGGTTGAGCAATAGGGAGCCATCCCTTGACCGCACCCGGGCATCGATTAGCCTCCCATTATATCTGTACCATATGGAGATTCCCCCGGTACAGCTATTGAAGGCTTCACGAACTACGTGGTCAAAATAGATGTTAAATAATGTGGGAGCCAGAGGACATCCCTGTCGCACCCCAAGATGTACAGGGAATGGCTCTGACTCCCGGCCATGTAGTTTTACCCGGGCCCGCTCACCATCATGAAGGTCCTTAATGATCGTGAGCAGAGGGTCAGGTACTCCAAAAGCACGAAGAACGACCCAGAGCCCAGGCCTACTGATGGTATCATAGGCCTTGACCAGGTCAATAAAGCAGAGATGTAGGTCTTGTTGGAATTCCCTACACCTCTGCTGTAGCAGACGGACAGAAAATATGGCATCTGTGCAGGACCGCCCTTTCCTGAAACCGCATTGGGGCTCCGCAAGCCTCTCCTCAGCGTGCCTGGCAAGGCGATGCTGAATAATCCTTGCCAGGACCTTTCCCGGCACACTGAGGAGTGAGATGCCCCTGTAGTTGTTACAGTCTGTGCGGTCCCCCTTCTTAAAAAGGGGGACCACCAGGGCATCCTTCCAATCCTGCGGAACCCGTCCAGTGGTCCAGACTGTTGTTATGATGTCATATAGGGCAGTCTGTGCACAAACGCCACCCTCCCTCAGCATTTCGCTTGGGAGATCATCTCTGCCCGCTGCCTTTCCTGGTCTCAGACTCTGGATCGCCTTCAATACTTCCTCAGCAGATGGCACCTCAGCCAGCCACTCACAGGGGGTGACTTCATCCAATATTTGAGGCACCGCAGCCTCAGCAGGGTCATCCTCACTTTGTGCCACGATGTTTTCCTGGCTGAGGGATTTTCCCTCCCCCAGGACCTCACAGAAATGCTCAGCAAATCTGCGAACCTGTTCCTGGGGGTCGGAAATTGGATCACCGTTTTTTCCCCTAATGATGGTAATAGGTGTGGCGCTGCAGGTTACTTTTTTGATGGAGTTAAATAGAGATTTGTGACTCCATCTCCTCAGCAACCCGCGACCACCACCCATCCTTGCAGCGCCTCACGGCTCTCCGAACCTCCGAGCGAAGGCTGCGGTAAGCCTCCTCATTCTCTGACGTGGGATTCTGTAGCCGATGACAGTGGGCCTGTCGCTTTTTCTCAACCATCCTGAACAACTCCTCTGTCATCCAGGGTGTCTGGGGAGGTCTGGACCGCGTACCCAGAGCAGCCATTGCAGCTGCATGAGTCACAGTCCTAAACCTCGCCCATTTACCCTCGACATCAGGAGGAGTCGGGGACGATGCCAATCCCAGCCGCAAGCGATGATGAAATTCTCGCTTGCAACTTTCATCAGATAACTGAGACCAGGCCACTTTAGGTTGGAATGGGGTCCTGGGTGTACACCCACCACCGGAGTGGAAGAATGGCAGGCGCATCTTACAGATGACTAGTCGATGGTCAGAGGGCAGATCAGCTCCACGGTAGGTCCTGGTGTCAAGGACATGGGCTCGCATTCGCCGGTCCGTCACTATGTAGTCCAGCAGATGTTCTTGCTTGGACCCGGCATGCATCCATGATGTTGTGTGGATGCGCCGATGCCGGAACAGCGTGTTGGTAATTACAAGCCCATGGGCTGCACAAAAATCTAGCAGCCTCCTACCGTTGTTATTGAGCTGATCTGGCCCATGCCCTCCAATCACTCCAGACCAGGTGCCAGTATCATGACCAACTCGGGCATTGAAGTCACCCAACATGATGACTCTATCCCGAGGGGCCACTTTAGCCAGCACACACATACACACACACATACACACACACATACACACACACATACACAAACAATACACACACATACACAAACAATACACACACACACACATACACACATACACACACACATACCCACACATACACACACACACACAAGCGTCTTCAGGTAGCCAGGGTTGCCGCCTTCCCCCGCGTCGTTCCACCCCCGTGTGGCCCCCGCCAAGGTCCCGGAGTCTCACCCATGAGGCCCAGGTGCTGCTCCCCGGCGTGCCGCGCAGTCTGCTGCGTGAAGCTCGCGTCCGTGTAGCCCACGAAGCGCGCCTTCTTGTACCTGCCGCCCAGCCGCGTCGGTCCCCGCTCAAAGAACGTCGCAGACTCGCTGCGCTTGCGCACACACGCACACACACGTGCACACACACACACACACGCGCACACACGCACGCACGCACACACACGCACACACACGCACACACGCACACTCGCACACGCACACACGCACACACGCACACACGCACGCACACACACACGCACACGCACACACGCACACACACACACACACGCACACACGCACACACGCGCACACACACGCACACGCACACACGCACGCACACACACACGCACACACGCACACACGCACACACACACGCGCACACACACACACACACGCACACACGCACGCGCGCGCATGCACACACACATGCACACACACACACACGCGCACACACACGCACGCACACTCGCACACATGCACACACGCGCACACGCACACACGCACACACACGCACACACGCACACACACGCACGCGCACGCACGCACACACGCATGCACACACACGTGGAGGTGTAGCGGTTAGTGCCGCTGTGCTACGAACCCGACACCGATGACGAGTATCCGAACCGGTCCTGGGCCTCCCTGTGGTCGACTCGACCTCAAATGCAGTACCTGGTGCGGTGTGTAGTAAATATCGCCAAAGGGGAGACAAAGACGGCCGGGCGTGGTGACGGCCACCCACTCGTGTGCCGTGCCGGCCTTCATAGGTGCCACTTGCTAACAGCACTTGCCCCCACGGTCCGTTAATGCTATACAGGGGATTTTTTTTTATTTTTGCATGCACACCGTACCACAACATCGACCGTCGTTACCCGCGAAGTCATGGTGACATCACCACAAAGCGCTTGTGCCAGGCTAGGTACGCACCTTGAGGCCACGTAAATTGTCGAAGGCTCGCCGGCAGGAGGTGACGGGACAGACCCAAACTTAACAGCAAGCGCCGTTCGCCACGAAGTGGCGTTGACGTCACCACGGCGCCTGCGCCAGGCTACGTGCACGTTGAGGCCAAGCACACGCACGCGTGTGTACATCGAGATGATTACGCAAGGAAGACTCTTATTCGGGGATCCTCATGGTGGAGGCCTCACGCTCGCGAGGGCGTCGCGGCCATTGGCAACGTTGCCGAGACAACAACGGAATTTGCCGCGAGAGCTCCGGGTTGAGCGCGATCGCCACGGCTCCCGAGCGGGCGGGCTCTGGAGCCGCACGTTCGCCGCGACCGCGACGAGGCCGCCGTCGCGCTCACGTTTCGGGGTCGTCGAGGCGCTTCCCGGTGAAGGCGTCGACGCCGCTGGGGCCGTAGTCCCACACGCTCTCCTCCGCCGCGACGAAGTACCGGCGAGTCTCGCCGCCCGCGGCCGGAGCGGGCGCCGCCCGCCCGCAGTCCCTCACGGTGTAAAGCGCCTGCATCCCGGCTGCAAGGCACGCACAGCGACCACGCTGCTGCTGCTGCTGCTGCTGCAGCCGGCGGCGTCCGCGGGGTTCCGCGCACCACCTACTCTACTCGCGCTGCGCACAAACGGCGGCCGGACATTCAGTCGCGCGAGGCGGCGGCGGGGGCGGCCGCGGTTGCGGTCGCGAGCGGCGGTTTTCACCGTGCACGTGGTGATTGACGCCGCACGTCAGCAGCCACGAGCCGACCTCCGTCGGCACGGCATCCCCGGACGCGAAGGAGGCGGCAAAGAGGTCCACGGTGTCGACGCGCACGCCGCCCGTCAGCACGAGCGTCTGGCCGTGGAACCTCGCCGTGTGCAGGTCCTTCTCCCCGCCGATGGCCAGCAGGTGCCACGCCACGCGCTCGCCCACGCACATCTCCAGGCCCGGCAGGTGTCCGAACACGAGGCCGTTGATGGCTGCGGAAGGGGGGGGGGGGAGGACGGGCAAACAGCGCGACGGCAATTAGCATCGGCCGACGGCTCCAAGGATCGACCCACGGCTGGATGAAGGCCTCCGGACGTTGGCTTGGCGCGGGGACATTCCGTTTTGGTTCGTACGTGGGAGGGGACGGATACGCGAGGGGGATATCCACGCCGCCTCCTGCGGTCGCTTGTGCATTCTCCACAAAGATGCTCACAATTATTTTGTGTTGGGCATTCGCCCACGCTGTTAAAATGAGTGCGGCCGCGCACCGCGCTACAATCGCGACGCTCTGCAACGAGCGGCAAAATGCGCTCCCCCCGCTGTGCCGCGTCTCGCCGATTCACTAGAATCGCTCGCCCACCGGCAGTCCGTCACCTCCTCATCGCTCTGCCATCGCTAGTTACCGTGACTACCGTTGCCGTGAAATTTACTCCACGGGTCGGCCTGGTAGACGGATCTACCAGGCCGACAACTTCATCCACACTGCTGCGTTCAACCACCACACTGCAGGTCACAACAATACACACCCCACCCCACTCCACTCCACCCCACCAACCCCACTCCACCAAACCCACCCACCCCACTCCACCAACCCCACCCACCCCACCCAGCCACCACACTGCAGGTCACAACAATACACACCCCACTCCACTCCACCCCACCAACCCCATCCACCCCACCCAGCCACCACACTGCAGGTCACAACAACACACCTCACTCCACCCCACTCCACCCCATCCACCCCACCCAGCCACCACACTGCAGGTCACAACAATACACACCTCACCCACCCCACTCCACCCCACCCCACCAACCCAACTCTGCCACCACACTGCAGGTCACAACACCCCACTCCACTCCACACCACCCAGTCACCACACTGCAGGTCACAACAACACACACCCCACCCACCCCACCCACCCCACCCACCCCACCAACCCCACCAACCCCACTCACCCCAACCACCCCACCCAACCACCACACTGCAGGTCACAACATGACACACCCCACCCAGGGCAGCCGACCGCCGAATTAGCTTGGTGAAGCTGTGACGATTATGGTGGCTTCTGATGTACCGTGCATCTGGTTGCTCTCCACGAAGCCCTCGTCCTCTGTATCCACACTGTCAGGGCTCCCACAGAACCTCTGGATGTTCTTCCCGAGGTACCAGCTGAGGTTCTCGTTCACGATGGCAAACATGACCACGAACTCCTGGTCCACGTCTCGCCGCTTGGAGGTCACGGGGTCAAGGATGCCTGCACCGTGCACGCCAACCAAACGTAAAGGATTCGAGGTTGAGAGCGTTAACTCCGGTGGTGTCGGCAGTGGTGGCGGTGGTGGTGGAGGTGTTGGCGGTGGAGGGGGTAGTGAGGGTTGGTCGATCACCACACACATGTTGCGAAACTTCCATCCCGTGGGCATCGAGGGGATGCCCCTGCTCTGGTTTGCCAGCCAGGAGAGGGCAGTACAGCAAAAAAATGTGGACCCCACCTGTTCCGTCTGTATGGGATAGAGTGTTTCCCCCTCGCACGCATGGGTATCCTCCCACATGTAAGCACTCATTTATTGCCCGATAACGCCTTCGTACATAGAGGAGCGCAAAGCTTTGGCAATCGTTGGCACTAGCTCACCGCTTGGCTGCCTTCCCGTTTGTCCGTGGTTCCTGCTCGGGGCTGCGGATGCTTCACCCTCTTTACAAGGAAGCAGCGGAATACTGCGAGCGTCACTAGTTGAACAGATCATACATTACATTATTTTAAAAGAGAACCGATTGCTGCCGACAGAATCCCAAATTACATTAAAATGGCGGTTCTCTTCCTTTTCTTTCAGGAAAGCCTCACTGAATCTCAGGACCCATTTTCCCGTTTACCAGCGCTCGGGCTCCCAACGCGGGAGGAGACTGGCGCGCGCGAAACTCGGGTGCCAGCCGAGGTGCCCTGACCACGGGCGCCGCCGTTGTGAACTCCACCGCGTGTCTGCGCTGGGGGCCGGGGGGCGGGGGCCGGGGGGTGGCATTTACCTCTCTTGCACGTGAGCAGAGCGCCAGCGAGGCCGGAGGCGATGTCGCGCGAGGCATCCATGTGGGAGTGGTAGGCCCACGTGAGGCACGCCGGGTCGTCGGCCGTGGGCCCAAACTCCTCGCGCACCTCCCACAGGTAGGTGTGCCTGCCGCCGGGGGGCACTGCCTCGTCCAGCTCGTCGTCACCCGACGTCCCGTCCGGGTACCTCGCTCCTGCGGTACACAACCGCCGGCACGGGCAGACCCCACCCCCAGCAACCGCACGGCCACACCGCACAAACCACGCATCCCCGATTAGCACGGTTGGATACGTACGAAAGAAGTTCAACGTACGTGCATGCCACACCGCACCACACAAGGCACGCCACGCCGCACCGTATACACAGACACAAGCCATCGGCCAGGAGGGGAGGATGGAGAAGAAGGAGGAGGAGGAGAAGCAAAAGAGTTAATGACAAAAACGGGGACTTGTAATGTGCGATGTGCAATGTTCTGGGAAGATTTTCCCCAACGACAACTGTCTTAAAAAATCAACAATGCTCGAAAAACCAGGATGGGTGGCAGCCCTGTCAACTGGTAGCAGAGCGCGGCTGGCACAGGTTCCGGTGCGAGGGAAATACAGCAAGTCCCCGGGTTGCGGAAGACCCGACATGCGGAAATCCGACCTTGCGGAAAGCCGACCTCGCGGAAATGCTCCCGTAAATAATGTAAAAAAAACGTCAATATGTAGACATTTTCACGTTAGTAACGCAAGTAGTGCAGCACGGCGAGGTTGCGGATGAATACCGCGTAAGGCAGTCCGGGACCTTACTCCTCGCTCCACCAAAACGCCACCTTCACCAAGCCCGAGCTTCAATAGAATTCAAATTCAGTAAATGGAATATTTTGTAGCGTTACGTATTTTTTTTGTTTTCAATGCTTAGAACTATATTTTCCACATGTGTCTATTGCTTGTTTTCTTCATTTTAAGTTAATTTCATGAGTTATTTACCCAAGGCCTAGCCTAATGCACGGTAAACAAACATTCGGAAGGGACTGCTTTCTATTAACAATTAATCTTCAAATATTTCGTGGTATTCATAAACAACTGGATACAGTATATGTTCCATTAGTTTAATTGTGGGTAGTGTTAGGGTAGATATTCGTTGAAATGAAAGAATTATAGGAAGTGCAGAGCGTATGTACAGCGATACAATACCGGTAGCGATAGCAAAACGTACGACAGCGTGATACGTTACTTAGAGAAAACAAACTAGTCATCGGCTAGAGGCGGCACAGCTACTTCCGGCTATGGGATTTTATCGTTGATTTTGGGGGGAAACTGTTCAGTTTCCGACGTACGGAAAATTCGGGTTTCCGGATCGTTCTCGGGAACCTAACCCTTCCGTAATCTGGGGACTGCCTGTATAGAGACGCACGTCAATGACGCGGTGAGACACCGTGCCTGAGCGGCGTGCTGTAAAATGGACCCCCATGATCGAATGGCCTCACCAACTAAGCCCACCGCCCTCGACTTTGGGAAAACTGTTACGTTGTTTACATAGCATTGTTTTAGAGGGGCTTGGTTTGGCCCGATTTTTTTTATTTAGTATAGATTTATACTTACAATTTTGATCTGTATCGTATGATGATTGTTATTGGGATAAAACATATAAATTGATTTTTTTGCACTTTTTGTACACAGCATGGACGGGTGGTGCTTTTTCCATAGCATTTTATTGTTTATGTATGTGATGTTTAGATTTGTGTACAATTAATTTTAGGTGTATCTTGTAATTTTATTGTTGCGGTTGCACCCAAATCAAGAGCCGAATGGCTCACAGGGTAAACCCTAATAAATGAAACTGAAACTGACTCGAGTATCTGGCTGCCGTAAATGTCCACGTGATGAGAAGCCACCTCACCGGGCCATCGTTTGTGACACCCAGGTCACTTTTAAAGAAGAAGCTAACAGCTCGGTGGGCCTTACCTGGCAAAATAAAAAAATATATCTTTAGTTTATACTTTAATTTATCTTTTACCAAGCATGGTAAAAACGTGTGCACTTTCGATAGTTGTAAGACATTATCATTTTTACAAATTTTAAGTAATTAATACATTTCTCTCTCCGAATTATGATATTGTCAGTTGAGAGTGGACACCCTGGCCTCCACCACAATAGAACGGCAACCCCCCCCACTCCCCGCCGCACGAAGAGCGCCTTGCCTTCGGAGGCCTTGTCGTAGAAGACGCCGTGGGGGTGCAGACCGTAGGGGCGGCTCGCCAGGTTGCGCAGGTTCACGCGCAGCACGTCGCCCACCTCGGCCCGGAGCACGGGCCCCAGGAGGCCGAGCCAGGCCGGCCGTGGAGACTCGAGCGAGAAGGAGGAGTCGGTGTACTCGCGGAACACCGCCTTGCGGTAAACGCTGCCGATCCGCGCCGGGCCCTGGGACAGGTACATGTGAGCGTGCCTGCGGGGGATGTGGCCAAAAGAGAGAGAGAGAGAGACGGAGAGTTATCGTGGCAAGTTTAGGATATTTTTGGGGAGGTGAAATGACTAAAACTGCATGCTACTTTACCAGGTAAGGCTCCACTGAGCTACGTAGCTCCTTTTTCAGAAGCGACCTGGCCACAAATGATAGCTCAACAAAGTGACGTATCATAATGTGGAAATTTATCGCAGCCAAACACTATAAACTTGTGATGTTGATCCTAAATATGGAGGGAAAGACCGGAGGAACCGGAAAAAATCCACGCGACCACAGGGAGAAAGACACGCAAACTCCAAATATACAGTTGTCAGGATCAAACCCACGACCTCCTGTATACCAGGCGAGGGAGCTAACATCACTGCCACCGTGACGCCCGCTTATCTCTCTTATAATAGGTTTCTTGAGTTTAGGGAAGGTTATTTTAAGAACTCTGGAGGAAAAAAAGTGACGGGAAGCATTGCGAGGGTGAAAAAGCATAAAGAGAAACGTGACGTGCAGTGTGTGGATGTCGGTTAACGAGTGTGTTGTTGTGACGTGCTCGATATTGCGCTGCTAGACGTTAGTTTTCTGTCTCGGTTCAGCGCTTTCAGTGTTTGACAGCTAGTGTTGTGTATAGGATAGCGACCCACTTAGAGTTGTGTATAAGCGAGCGACAGGAGAGTATGTACCAGCATAGGGCGGTGTATTGTGCAAAGGGTGCTCGGTTAAGTAAAAGAAGTGCCTCCAAGTCTAAGCGTCTCCGAGTTAAGTCATCGTGACATTAAAATAAATCACTGGTCAATGCCAGCGTCATTGTCCAGATTTTGCCGAACTTGATCGGTTATTGCCAAATTACTTACGTGGGTAAAAGCTGAACATTGGAAGTGCTTGCTTGAAATTAAACTTAGAAACGGGAGGAGGAGGAACAGATAGATAGATAGATCAGAGCACAAATGCAAGTTTAGAGATATTGACCCTTTCTCATTCTGAGAGGTCTACAAGTTGCAGGGTGGGTCCCATTCACAGATGAATTCAAGAAAACGCAAGCGGGTTAGCATTAATTTTATTTAGAGAGGCGTAGTAAAGGCATCGTACTCACGGCAGAAAACCATAGCCACACCACCGCACTCTACGATAGCCGGCGCCAAACTTTGCCACACGCCCTACCGCATGGCCTTGTGGGAGCCTCGGTACCGTTTAAAGTAAAATTTTTATTTTAGTTTCTTCTTGCGGTTTCGTTTTGATGATTTTACGTCATCGGAACGGGAAGGGGGTTCAGAAAAGTACGTGGCCTTGGGCTGGAGGTGCCACTAGCAGGGATGGTTGGCTGTCGGTCGAGACGACCAATGGAGTGGGGAGAGCCCAAGAGGCCACCCACCGTGGAGATGCAGCCATGAAATGAGCTCGCGTGCAGATGTTAAATGGACCACCTCCGTTTAGCATGGTCGGCTACGTACGGTGCGAAAGCAGTTCAACATACATACAGGCAGTCCAACTTACGAACGCCCGACTTGCGAACGGCAGTACCTACAAACTAGCTTCCATGGAATATGAAACAAAAACATTGACTTAGAATGCGAACTCGCGGAACCATCTTTGTTCAGGAGTGATCCTTCGTGAGATGTAGCGAGTCGGCCTTGCGTTGGTAGCGAGTATTTGTGTGTGTGTGTGTGCGTAGAACGTGTGTATGCGAAAGTGTGAGTGTGTGCGGAGCGGTAGTGTGGCGGTTAGCGCTACGAAAGCACCCACCCGAGTTCGATCCTTGCTCGCGGCCAACACCACTATCCGATGTGGTGTGTAAACATCACCACTGGGGAGACAAAGGCGGCCGGGCGTGGTGCTGGCCACCCACCCCTTCGTGTGCCGTGCCGGCCTTCATAGGCGCTGCTCATTAAGAGCACTTGCCCCAACAGCCTGCTCAGGCTACACGGGGGACCGTTGGGGTGTGTCTTTGTGTGTCCCGTGTGTTTGTAATTGTGGTGACTCATTGCCAACTTCCGACTACAATTCAGCATCAGGGCTCCAGACGAGTGAAAATAAAATATATTTTTTAACGTGTTACTTTATTTTAGGTTTTATTTACTACACTGTATATGTTTTACAGTGTTGCATGCAAGTGTATACTATTTCATCTTCGTTATGAGTTGAACAATGCTTCCACTTTTGTTGAACCGAGAAACACATGTCACAACACTGACCGTGTGGGCATTTAAACGGGGTGCATTGGTGTGCTCCGACATACGAACACCGTTAGCCTTGCGAACGGTCCTCAGGAACGAATTAGGTTCGTAACCCGAGGACTGCCCTGCATACAGTCTTGTTTCAGAGGGAAAATTGGAGGAACCCTTCTGGCTGGCCACATGTAGCGCTGGCCTTAATAGGCGCTCGCCACGGCAGCCTGGCTTGTTCGTGCGACCGCGGTCTCTTTGATGGAAATTAAACCAACTCGGTGCGCGGGTAAGGAAACGGTTTCTTGCTTGCAATGACAGGTTTCGGCGGCTCGTGCAGAGCCAACTAATTATGAGGCAAGTACCGCCTGGGCTGAAGTGTGATCACACATCCTGCGGGGAGAACTGCATGCCTCGCTGTGGAATGCCACATAGAAGGCTCGAGAGAAGCATGGGTGAACAGTTGAACACGTTGTAGGATTTCGCGACCAATATCATCCGTAATATAGGGTTTGGGGTTAGATAGATCGCGTCGCCTGATGAAGCTGGTTGTAATTCATGGCGGAAACATCGTACTCGGATTGTAAATGTTGTGGCTTGGTTCTCCAACACACCGGTGGTGCTGTACTAGTGACGAATTGGCCACGTTCCGTTTACGTGACAACCCTTACTAGTTGGCTGTGTTGGGTGGTGGCGGGTTCAATGACACATTTTTATATATTTACGCGATCTAACCCAAAAAAAGTTATATTACGGATATTGGTCGCGAAAGCCTACGTGTTAAAAATGTCTTCAGCATCACGGGTTAAAAGCGTAACCGAGGCTGGGGGACTTGCATCGTTCTCACGCTTATTGGGTCTACCGAAAGAACGTACACAATTCCATCTTTCATAATCCAATGCCTATCATGTCGAACCCATAACCGCAGCCTCTGCATCGTATAATTAAAATATACGCACGCTATTGCAGCGGCTTGCAGAGTGGTACTTTTCATATTACAAAGTCGTGCGTGACACACCCGTGAAAAAATTATGAAAAATCCGCCTCTGGCCAGAAGGCGAATATTTTATTTGAAATTTTAATTCCCATTACTCAATCTATGCTCACGTGTCTGCGTGGATCATCAACAAGGCGTTAATGAAAGCTCTCGGTTGCAATTGATAATTTGCCAGAGAATGCGTCCCTGGTCGCGTATGAAGTTACAAAAAATGCGGTCCGCCTAAGACTCGGTGCGTGTGGCCATGCACCCGTTTGCGAACGCGTTGCCTTCACTTTGCTCGCTTGTAGGGCAGGTCCTCGCTTTACGCGTGGCGTTCACACCGTACCAGCGTTTCAGCGATAGACGCGGCACACTCCCCCATTATAACGCGGAGAGGGCCCCCCGTTGTAACGCGGTTCCCGAGCACTCGACGACAAACGAATTTACTGAGCTGCACGGCCGAGCGGTTCGATACGGCGCGCGGAGTGACGCAGCGCACGGAGTGACTGCGTGTTCAGCAACGCGACTACGGCGGTGAACGAGGACTTGCTGTGTGCACGACACCCCACCAGGACTTGCTGTACACAACACCCCACACCAACCCCCCACGGCTGTTTCTCAGCGAACTGAGGAAGAGACGTCGCTCATAGGACGTCAAAATACGATCCACCAAGTTGCCTTTATATATTTCGTTCGGTAGGGGGCATAAGCACGATGCCTAGAAGGTGTGCTAGGAGGATGGTTAATTAATAATTACCAGAGATGGAATTGAACATACTTTTGAGAAAACCAAACTTACTAAAATGACGGGAGGTAGTTTGTGTGTGTGTGTGCAATCAGCGATGACTGTGCCGAGATCACAAACGCCGTTCGCTACACTCGAGGACTCGCTTTGATCACAGGCGGACGGAACCAGGATTCGAACCCAGGACCTTTGGCATGTAACTCCGACCTCGGCGGCTTATTTACAACTACTCTTAACTTTTCAAGGCGTGCTTCTACACATTCATTCATTCAAATGAATATTCTTTACATCCTTGATAATTTTGATTTAAAGCTTTCGTGACTGCAGGGATTAATATTCTTGGTTATTTCGGTAAAGTCACGTAGAAGGGAAACAATAAAATAATAAAAATATAAAAACCGTGGTGCTAACGTTAAAAAAACGCCACTTTTTTCAAAATTTCTTGCTGTGGTTTTCACACCTGATGATGATTGCTTGTGTTGCAGTCGAAACGTCGTGAGAATTGTATTGTTTTATATTTTTATCATTTTGTTTCCCTTCTACGTGACTTTACCGAAAGAACCAAGAATATGAATCCTTGAGAATGTCAAAGAAACCTATTCCAGTACATATTATCTTGGCATTTTGGCTTTTATTATTGCATAAAAAAGCAGGTTGATTTTTGTGCCCCGAGTACAGGATAATCGTGAGAAGAGCATGGAAATGACAGTGTCTTAGTACTAATAACATGATGATGATTATCATAATTAAATGGAAATCCTGTATCGCCCTCTCGTGTCAAGCTACCACCACGTGGTTCTGCCTCCTGGTGGCCATCCTGAATTAGATGTACAGTCACGTTCCCCAACTCATTGAATTGTCACCATTTGAGTCGTGACAAGAGTCAGGTCCCCAGCATAGGGATGTGGAATTTCCACCACCATTAGGAATGCATAATTTACAAATCATATTTACAAATCATAACTACCTAACACCGCAAGCTCGCATCGCCTGGCAATCCCAATAAGTGTCCCCATTCTGACCAGGCTGCTTGGCTTCCAAGATCTGACAAAGTCCTACGCATCCCGACCATGGCCAGGTGCTGTTATTCGTTACATCACGGCTACCA